GACAATCGATAGAAATATTCTTACCTTCCCGCCGCAGTTTGATGAGCTGTTCAGTTCGAAATAACGATCGACTCGTCCTCGCTATTCGAACTGCGCACGTGACTTGTTCGGCCAACAATCGGTTGCCCGAACAAGTCACGTGCATCTAGCCCGCGCTGTCGATGCTAAGATGGCGACATCCATGAACAACAGAAATTTGAAAAGTTTTCAAGCCTGTCTTTGTACCCGGATAGGTTTTGTACATCTCAAGAATTTTACGGAGAAAACATCTTTCAGCAGTTCAAATCTCATCGGGAAATGTTACGATGATGTCAGCATTAACTCTTTCGCTTTCTGAGGTCCAAGCGAGCTTCGAATATTATCGTTGAGCGTTTTGTGCACTTCACNGTGAATTTTGAGTAATAGAGAAATAATTTTCCCTGGTAATGCGAGTTTCCATAGAATACGACATTGAAAAGGGATTGCGTGACAACTGGTAAGTTATAAAATGACAGTCTGATTTTGTACCCAGTCTGCAGTCTGCAGTCTGCATTTTGTACCCAGTCTGCATTTTGTACCCAGTCTGCAGTCTGCATTTTGTACTGACCGCTTGGAAAAAACTCAGTAGTCCCCCTTCGAACTTCTTTCAATAGATGGCAATCTATTCAATAGATTGAAAATCCAAATCAGTCGATAATAGCATGAATCGTATGGTGCAGAGTAGAAATCAATCTGACAGATAAAACTGAATGATGTTTGGTTTTATTATATAATTTTTGTTCTTCCATTAACCCTACAGGTCAGTATAGTCACTGAGGATTTATTTGATAACATACAGAAGGCCTTAGAAAACCCAGATGGCTTTGACGAAGAAACTAAAATGGCTTTGACACGCCTTTTAGATGTAATGGACAAATCTAAGGAGCTCCTGGAGACATTGAAAGTCCCTCAGAAGACAGAATCAAAGTTTAATGTGTTTTTGGCTTGTAAGGTCATTCAGCCACTTACAGGTGGCACGTGTATAATTAACAGTGTCAAGGACGAGGACAAGGTTGCGATGACAAACAGTGATGTAAAACTGCCAGATGACTTTGGCTTAACAGGAATAGCAATGGGTATGGTCATTATTGTTGTATTTTTTGTAGTATCTTTGTTTCTATACCTACTCTTTTTAGTTAACTTCCTGATTTCTTACTCTCTCTAGTTAATTTCCTGATTTCTGTAACTTTTTTTTAGTTAAGACATGACCCACCTAGATTAGCCTGTTAGCCTGTTACTTTCTACCCTGGATCCAGAGGGGGCTAATAACTCAAAGCGACTTGTTACTGAAACAACCCGATGATGGTAGCCCCCTCTAGACACCCGAGTTAAAAATTTCTGCTTTTTCGGGAAAATTGAATCACTCTCACCATCAGAAAGAATTGTCTGATTGGTCGCATTGATCACGCATCACAAACTGTTTTTTTTTTACAAGTTTAGCAAGAGCATAAAATGGGCGGAAAAGCGCCAAAAAAGTGCATTGCTAATTCACTAGCCAGGGTAGTTACTTTCATTCACAAAGAGTCATAGAACACATTTTGGCAACACCAAGCTGTGAAAATTTTGACTGCAGATTTGAATTCTTGGGTTTTGCAGATTTGAATCGGGTTTTGCTCATTCTTACAGGTTATGAAGATGGCTATTATGGTGAGCCAGATATTATTGCTTGCCCAAAGGAACAGTCTCAAAACGTAGGACCAGGAGCAGGTATGTTGTGGTACAAATTTGCCTGTTCAAGGAGAAGAGGATGAATGATGTCCCTGTTCGCCAATAAAATTCACCACAGTGGGGAAAGCAGCTGTTTGTAATGTCACCTGCATGCATGTGCCATTGCAATACATATCAGTCTATTATTATTCTTATTCAATATTTTTGCCATAAGTTATAAAAGGGACCACATAGTTTTAGCATCTACGATGTAAGTAGAGGTAATATTAACAGTCGCTATTTCATAGATTATTCCAATGTAGTTTGGTATCAATTCCGAACAATGGTCACTTTCAATTTCAACTTTGTACATTGGCGCAATGTTTGATGCTTTTGTCTGCTCTGTATAGATCAGAACATTTATGTACATGACTGCAAGCAGTACACACCACCCAAATATTTTTTGAGTGGGCCAGTCATGGTAGCCTGCATAGCAAGTGTTTTCCTGGAGCTTCAGCGCTCAGAGAAACCCGAGTTTGTGGCCACATGGGAAATAGGGAGAGCAAAAAATGAAGAGAGGGGTAGGGGTAAGAAGGAAACGCTCCATAAGCAGATAAGTATGACCATTGCGTCGGAGCAAAATCAACTGTATTAATGGGGTAAATCTAAAAGCAAACTGAGGCTCACAGCAAGAACAATCTTTCTTGCTACAAACTGGCCCCACTCCTGTGACTGCGGCTGGCATATCATACTATTATAATTCTGGAACCATTACAATTTCTATGGTACACCATGTACCCCCTTATTGTATAAAGCTCTTGTCACATACAGTAGTTGTGCATATATTTAATGTTGTTCTCCCCTTTTTGCAGTTGCCATTGACTCAGTACCTTCTGTTGAAGAGCCTGATGAAACAGGTATATTATAGTTTCTAGTCCTTGTTGTCGCAGTGCCGTTCAAAGCATCCTGGCCTGATCCCAGAGTAATTCAGGGAATGGACTAAAGGATTGAGGATTTTTGTTACTATTCCATCGGTGTTGTTATGTGAAATTATTGTCTGCGGTATAAAACACATGATGACAAACAACGACCAACAAACAACCCTTGTCAATCAAATGGTGTGATGTCATCGATCATGTGACTCGTATCAAAGACCTTGAATATCCCATGCATAATAAACAACCAACAACCCTTGTCAACCAAATCTTGATCGTGTTACATAACTCAATTAATGGCACGATTCTCTTGAAATGCTTTTAAATACAACACGTTTAAGGTATACCAACAGGTCCTTTGATTGGTGCGGCAAGAGACCTATGATTGACATATTTTATCGCACATTTCTTGTCATTGTTATCGTATATTCACTTATTTCAATTTCTTTCCAGAGGACGACCCAGAAGAAGCTCCAAAAAAATTGACCTCAAAAGGTACAGCATTTTTAAATTTATTTCATTTACATGTCTAATTTGTCTATAGATACATCTCCTGCAATATGATGCCTATGATTCATGTGTTTTATACCGCAGACAATAATTTCATATAACAACACCGGCGAGGGAATAGTAACAAAAATCCTCAATCCTTTTATCCATTTCCTGATTTACAGGTGTTCCTCAACCAAAGAAGCCTCGTACTACAGGTACAAACTGTAACACTTTTGGAATAATCTGCCATATTATAGTTTTTGTGGAATGACTGTCTTTTGAAAAACGCTGTTCGTCAGCCAACAGATCCTTTGATTGGTGCGGCAAGAGACCTATGATTGACATATTTTATCGCACAATTCTTTCATTGTTATCGTAGTGATAAGATCGGCGTCTGAATCAACAACGAATTCCCAACGGCGCATGATAAGATCGGCGTTTGTTCCCGTGTACGATACGGATGAGTGCACAAAAGTCGTGCTATATTGCTATGGTATAGTAGTGACCGCACGCCACACTAAAGTATAAAAGGCTTATTCTTTTCGCAGAAAGATAAAATATTGTATTATTCTAATTTGTTTGCAGGTGCCTCCCCAGACAAAGTTGTTATTGAAGGGAAAAAAAGTGTTTCAGAAAAGACAACGATATCAGCACTGTCCCAAACCATAGCAATGGCGCTAACATTTGCAAGAATTCAACAGAAGCGCCACAGTGAACACCACACGTTTCCAACACTACGGGTGCATCCCCTCGGCGTTGACATCATACTTCACAATGCTGTATCAGATCATTTAATGTTGACTTGTTTGGCATGGTCGAAGTCAGCGCTTTTTATGTTGTGGTTGGTGCTACACCATAACCTATTTAGTTTTCGGCAAGTGCCAAAAGGGTACGAAGGGTATACATCCGGCTTTCTTGATTATATTGAATTCAGTGGTGCCATGAAAACAGAACCTAAGTACCTTGTTTTGAAGAATAGTTTTGAATTGAATCAAGAGGAGATTCAGCGGGACTATAGCATATTTTTTTAATAATAAGAAAAAATGCAATAATGCAAATTACTGTCCCAAAGCATAGCAACAGCGCTAACATTTGCAAGAATTCAACAGAAGCGTTGACATCATACTTTGCAATGCTGTATCAGATCATTTAATGTTGACTTGTTTGGCATGGTCGAAGCAGCGCTTTTTGTGTTGTGGTTGGTGCTACACCATAACCTATTTAGTTTTCATTATATACTTTACATTATATATTATTAAAGTACTCGATTATATTAAAAACAGTGGTGCCATGACAACAGTAAAAATGAGAAAAATGCAATAATGCTTTTTAAACTGACTAAAAATTTGTAATAATTTATTCAATAGCCATTTGTATATTAAAGTTGCCTTTGAAAACAAACTTATCGTACACAATGTTACCTTCTGGGAATGTTACCTTCTGGGATCGAGAGTGTGAGTGTCCCTAGTCCTGGGGTAGGCTCAGTTCCAGCCGTTGGGGTTTCGTGCGCCCGCGATACTCTCCCCCGTAACGGCTGGGCGCACGGGCTAGCCATTGTTCCTCTAGACCAATCAGCGAGTTGCCCCTGGCATATTAGCGTATTTTCAGTTTCTTTAGGGTCTAGTGAGTGCGTCCATACAAGTCCGAATTTCAGGATAACCTGGCATATGGGCGTATTTTCTGTTTCTATAGGGTCTAGCGACTACGTCCAAGATAATCTGGCATATGAGAGTATTTTCAGTCTATATAGGGTCTAGTAAGTGTGTCCCATACCATTCCGAGTTTCAGGATAACCTGGCATATGAGCGTATTTTCAGTTTCTTTAGGATCTATTGACTGCGTCCATACAAGTCCGAATTTCAGGATAATCTGGCATGTTAGCGTATTTTCAGTTTCTATAGGGTCTAGCGACTGCGTCCATACCAGTCCGAATTTCAGGATAACCTGGCATATGCAATCCCACTTCTGACACCAAAATTGTAACCGGCGGCAAGGCGCACAACCGTGAATAAGCATTGCAAGGTGGTTTGACAAAAGAATTTATTGAATTTCACATGAATTTATACAAAAACTAAAACGGGAACGAGAACTTCGAAGAAAGTTCTTTGTCTTGTTCTACAAATCCATAATGCTATCCTCCTGGATTGTGACTACACTGAATATTATACTCGTTTGGGACCTACTTTTATTAGAAACCCTGCATTTTTTATTCAGTCTGCACTCAGTCTGCAACAAATATGTTTTATTTGCCTTTTAAACATCCTTTGAAACGTTTTTAGTTCTATTTAAAGATTTTTTGAATCATATATTGACAAAAAAATGGACAATTTGAAATCGGAACAATAAATCAATTTAAACCAAATGTCCTACCGCACACATATTTATCAATGGGCGAATTTCAAGACTATAGTAGGAGAACAATTTGATTGAATATCTCAATAGTAAGTAATTCATAAAGAAACAATTGCTCATTTGCGAAATTAATATCGTGCAGGATTTCGTTGTATTAGCATCGTGTACAATCAGCCTGACTGCATCACTTATTTTTACAAAAGGATATTTTTGTGATTTTTACAAATGGCCACAAATAGCTTGACAGTAGTTGAGAGGATATTAACGGAGGGGCGGGTAGCTTAAATCTTTACTTTTTAGTAGTGTACATCAAATTCTTTCAGTTGTTTAAAAACCAAACTGTAATCTTTATTTATTTATTTATGTAAGAGATAAATACCGAGAACGGAGGTATTAATCCATATACATCCCG